TCCCCCCCCCCTTCCCCTACTCCAATCTAGACATAGGGAAAAGCTAACTTTTGTGAAATTTCTGGCACGACATTGGGATCTCGTAGCTCATCTATTGTATTCTGCATTAAATTTTAGAAGTTCTTCTAAGTCACTCTTAAAATGGAGGTTTAGATTTGAAACATGTAAGATTTTAGATCAAATATATACATTTACACCCCTGTCCTTTCTAATTACAATTTTTTAATCTCTCAATTAATTTTCCTGCAGTAGCGTGCGCAAGTCACTATTCTAGAGAAACCACAGCTGAAAATATTTAGTTTCAAAATTATAAACATATTTCTAATTCGTAATTTATTCGAAAACCGTAATTCGAGCACTGCATGGAAATTCACTTGAAGTTATGCTTACACTTGTGGACAGGGTACCCTGATTTGCCGGTGGAATGCAATCAAACGCTAACAAATATACCTTTCAAACAAGCTATTATACCTTTCAAACAAGCTATTATACCTTTCAAACAAGCTATTTGTCACGGAAATTCTCCAATAAATAAAGAAATTACATTCACATTCTTGACTGCAGCGTCGAAAAAAAATCGATGTTTGTAGGTTGTAATAGCTAAATGATTTGTGTGGAATTAAATTGATTTTTTTTACGATCCGAGTTGAATATTGCAACTTTCTAATTTTGTGTGGACACTACAGCCTACGTTATTCGGTATGAGTCGTAACAATTTTCTCCTTATAGACGCAACAGATTGAAGCAAGATTAGAAGCAATAACCATCGAATATTTTCGATGTAAGCCTAAATCCCTTTTTATCTTTGCGAATACTCCCTTTAAAGATATATATAATGAGGAAGATATCGTGTTTTCTGTTAAAAAAGTAAAGGTTTACAAGGGCACCCATGTGAATCGAACATAACTCTTAAAAAAGACGATCACTTGAAATTATGCCGCGTGATATTTCTTTTCTAAAAATTAACCTTCCCTTTCCTTTCTTAAGAATTACTGGGGTCGCCTTAGAGACCTGTAACATATAACATTTGAAGAACCCTCTTGAAAGATTTCATATTTTTAAAATATATTGTTAAAAACCCACATTTTTATCAAAATATGCCCCTTTAAATCACTTGTGCAAACATTTATCCGATATTTTTAGTGTAAACTTTAATATTCTTAATAAAATATTTGCCAAGCTGTATTTGAAGTACCGCCTTTGAAGGAGTGTGTCATTTGCATAGTTTGTGTGCACCCATATTGTGTGCTGTTGTTGTGTGAGTGTTTATGTGCGTGTGAGTTTGTGAATGTGCGCGCTCATTCATTGCCATGGTGCGCCCGGCGACTGTGTCTCAGTATAGTGAAGGTAGGGCTCTAAGACGAGTGTGTATGAGAGAGTGGAGATGATTATATAGTGATCTTAACTTATAAATACCAGTGACTTCAACGGTGCTTAAAGAGACAGCGGTGGTGACACGAGATTCTTAGTTTTAAATAGAATTGCTGGTTGTCACTCTCGGTGATGAATTCTGGAGAGACTTAGCCCAGGTCTAAACTCTAAACTCTAAATATTTTAATTAATTAATGCCCCGGGTATGGGGGCCTCTGCATAGTTACAGTGGAATACAAAAAAACCTTCGTTGTAGGATTTTCTTGTTAAACATTTATTGCAAAGAAACAGATTTGTATGGAAAATACCAAAGTTTTAACAAACATGTTTATTTTATATAAATGAAAGTAATTAAAAACTTTAAATTATGTCAGTTAGTTTGTTCACTTTTTCAATTAATGATTCAAGGCTAAGAAAGCAGAAATACGTCCAAAAATTAATATTTAATTTATCTCGTATTCTGTACGGACACCCTACCTTGTATTTGTACTAAAATATATGTAGATAAATTCTTTTTTTTCTTAACACTAAATAGCCTATATAGGATACAAATTTAAAACAATCAAATCAATTATAGATGATATATCTAATATCTATTATAAACTATGTAAAACAACACTTTATATAAATTATAGATATCATATTTATATCAATAAAATGGAATTGTTGTATTCATTAAACTATCAGTAGATTTTTTCTATCCATCTATTTATTTATTTATTTATCTATCTATCTATCTATATATCTTTATTCCTAAGTCCAGGTGTCACCAATAGTTCCTAGGTTTTATTTCATTATTTCTAATATTTCTCAAGTTCTCTTAATTAAAGGAAAGTACTGTGAACATAAGCTAAAGTACTATAATTTCGTAATTAGACGTAAACCTGGATCATTTTTCCCACGCAGGCTTTCATGCCAGCATACACCCTGTATTCCTGTACATATTCTAGAATACACCCTGTATTCCTGTATTCCGGTACATAGTCAGTCTAGAATACACCCTGTATTCCGGTATACATATTTTATATTATCTCTAAAAATAATCATACATTTTTATCTCTATCCATTCATATCTCTATATCTATTTCTATCTATATCATTTATCTACCTAAATCTATTTCTATCTATATTTTATCCTCCCTTTTGTTTATCAAACTATCAATTAAATTAAACATTTGTTAAGCAACAAGCAACAATTATAGCGTTAATTACATCTATCTATCTAACTATCTTATATTTTTATCAACCCACCTAAAACCCAGCCTTCTATACAATATTATTCGACTCTATAGACCTGCATTCCACCTTATTCAAAATGTTTTTTTTTTAAGTTAAAAATTTCTCCCTCCTCTTCCTTCCTTCCTTCTCCCCGTTTACACAATATATACATATAGATGTGTATCCGCTTATTTCTTCTATATATCTAAGATATGGAATATGGGGTGAGCTGTAGTACTAGTATATATAGCTTGCGTATTATGTAACACAGACCGTCCCAATAGTTTTCCGGAGGTCGAAAATATTGAATAGAGAGATAGTTTAACTAGGTTTGGATGGTAGAACTTTCACAAACCTAGTTTAACTACTTCTTGCTATTCATTTAACCCAACCTCTATAAAGTTTTCTTTGACTAAAATCATCTTTACATTAAATATTTTATTTCTAATTCGTGTTTAATGCCTGATTATATGGTTTCCCCTAATTGAATTATTCAATTATTCAATTCGTTTTAGGTTCGTTTTCAATTCGTTTTTAGTTCGTTTTAGGTTCGTTTTTAATTTGTTTTAGGATTGTTTTTAGTTCGATTTAGGTTTGTTTGTAGTTCGTTTTAGGTTGGTTTTTGATTGTTTTAGGTTCGTTTTTAGATTGTTTTAGGTTCGTTTTTATTTCGTTTTAGGTTCATTTTAGGTTCGTTTTTTGTTTGCTTTAGGTTTGTTTTAATTTGTTTTAAGATCGTTTTTAGTTCGTTTTAGGTTCGTTTTAAGTTCGTTTGAGGTTCGTTATTAGTTCGTTTAGGTTCTTTTTTAGCTCGTTTTAGGTTTGTTTTTAGTTCGTTTAAGGTTTGTTTTTAGTTCGCTTTAGGTTCGTTTTTAGATTGTTTTAGGTTCGTTTTTATTTCGTTTTAGGTTCATTTTAGGTTCGTTTTAGGTTCGTTTTTTGTTCGGTTTTTTTGCATACGTTTTCTCTCAGGGACAAAATTTGGCATATTGTAAGAAAATCAAATGATTTAAAACTTTTTCATTCTACCCATTTTCTTTTTAATATTATGCCAAATTTTGACCCGGACAAAAAATTCTTGCCAAAAGCGAACCGAACAAGATCAAAACGAATGTGTCAAAACGATTGTTTAGGATTGTTCTTGTATTTTTTAGGAAAATAAATGGCACACTTTAATAGAAGACAGTTTTTAAATATTGAAAGTTTTGTTAAAATACAAAAAAAAACTAAACAAAACAATTGGGACACACTGTATAAAGATTACCCTAGGATACATGGATACCGGGATACAAAGATACCCAGGAAGTGCACCGTGATCCCTACTATAAACAGATTATGACCCCTCCCCTCCCCCTCGACCCCAGACAGTTCACTTTTTAGAATATTTTCTCTCCATCCCCATCCTTGCTTCACAAAAAAATTAAAATGTTTGAAAACGAAGATGCACAAAACGTTAAAGTTTTGGCATTACAAAGCATTAAAAAACTGCATTAAAAACTGCATTAAAAATGCATTGCCCCCTGCCCCACACCCCAAACACTTTGTTATTGGCTTGAAATTCAGGGTGCAGCTTACAGTAAACTTACAAACAATAGAACATGTTTTTTCTAGATGGGTTCTATAGATATTTCTAAAGATAGGTTCGTTAGATAGGTACCATAGATGGGTTCGTTAGATAGGTTCTAAAGATAGGTTCTATATATAGGTTCTATATAGGTTCTATATATAGGTTCTATATATAGGTTCTATATAGGTTCTATATATAGGTTCTATAGATAAGTTCTAAAGATAGGTTCTATAGATAGGTTCTATAGATAGGTTCTATAGATATAGGTTCTAAAGATAGGTTCTATATATATAGGTTCTATAGATAAGTTCTAAAGATAGCTTCTATAGATAGGTTCTATATATAGGTTCTATAGATAAGTTCTAAAGATAGGTTCTATAGATAGGTTCTATAGATAAGTTCTAAAGATAGGTTCTATAAATAGGTTCTATAGATAGGTTCTATAGATAAGTTCTATATATAGGTTCTATAGATAGCTTCTAAAGATAGGTTCTATTAATAGGTTCTACAGATAGATTCTATATATAGGTTCTATAGATAGGATCTATAGATAGATTCTATAGATAGATTCTATAGATAGGATCTATATATAGGTTCCATAGAAAGGTTCCATAGATCTAATATTGTATTCTCTAGCTGTAATACCTAGGTTAGAAAGGTCTTAGATAAGACTAAATAAAATCATTAAATGCCAGGATATATTAATTTTTATCTCGGGGAAAAGGACAAATCGTGCAGTGACATCTTTTTTCCTGGTTGCATTCAAAGGTCTTCCCCCCCCCCCATCCCCAGTGAACACAGAAATTTTAGGCTTTTGATTTTTACTTCAAGTAACAAGGAAACTAAAAATGTTACACTAACTTTTAATGCTAAAGTGCCTTGCGCAATTTCCAATATTTTTTATTTTAATCTTTAATGTTAATCCTTTTATCTCTGACGATATCGTTATGACAGGGTCTGTAAACATAATGTCAAGGGACATGTCGGATTCACAATAGTGACACAAAGAATGAATAAGATATCCATATTTTTGTTTTGAAAACTTTTTTTCATTGGTGGGTTCTCTGTGGGTTGGAGTTCTTGCTTCATACACAATTAAGAAATCAGAATTCAACCCTGTTCAAGTTATCTTCCATTGTTGATCAGATTTAAAATTCTGTGATGGTGATGGACCAAACCTCTGTAGAGTAAAAAAAGTTAATGTTAGTTCCACATTTATTGAATTGAATTGTTGATCAGATTTAGGTTAAGGGCCGGGTGCCATTTTGGAGAGGGCATGCCCTCTTCCAATGTAGGGTATTTTCAATTTACTTTACACTACAAAACAGCTTGTTCATAAAGATATTAACAGAGTTGTTTAATGGTTAATATACGACAGCCTCGGGCTCTATCTATCTATCTATCTATCTATCTATCTATCTTTTTATCTATCTATCTATCTGCCCATCTATCTATCTATCTATCTATCTATCATACCTATCTATCAATCTATCTATCTGTCTGCTTTTTGTTTCTATGTATGAAACTGAAGTGCTCGACTTTCGGTGAAATTCCCACAATTTAGTTCCCATCGTTTAATTTATCTATCGATCTATTTATCTATCATTCCATTTATCTATCTATCAATCTATCTAACATTCCGTTTATTTATCAATCAATTTATCCATTTATCTAATATCTATTAATATACTTATATATTTATACATCTATCTGTTTATCTATCTTAAAAAGTATTAACTAACTCTAGAAACATTTAGTTTTAGTTTATTATTTTACAATCTCCGAAGAAATACACAATGAAATATAACTATTTATTCTGCAAGGGTGGTTTATAGTTTACATTCCAATATTCAGAGTTACCCACAAAGAATGATACCTATAGACGACTCTATGAAATTTGTATTGTCTGTTTCCTTATATACATGATACTCTGTGACTCTAAAGTTATTTATTTCTTTTCCAAATCATAAATAAAGCTATTAGTTTACTATATCTAAGGCAGAAGACTTAATTTAACTTTCGGATCTTCATCACGGTGGACTAAGCCAGTGGGGGCGGTCAAATAGGCCTAGGATTAGGCCGGATACTGTAAAAAGTCTGAACGCGCCATGGAAGTTATCATAGTTAGCCCTCCGACAGGACTATGCCAAGAAAATTGACCCCTGTCGTATGTTAGTCTGGTTAGGGCGACGTACTGTACCATAGGATCGGGTCAGTACACGCTGTTATCTGGCAGGCCGGTACAAACTGGGCAGGTCCTGTTCGAATTCAAATTTACTATGGCCCAGAGTGTCATATAGTAAGAGCTTCAGGTCGTCTTTACAGCCTTATCTTTTGTGGGTAATCCTGTTTTTTAGTGAACCAACCCAAGGT